AAGACACCACCGGACCTGCGCCTTTCTCCTCTGCCCTCCTCCACCCCTGCCCGGCTCCCTCCGCGGCAGCCCCCTCGCCTCCTCCCTGGCCCTTGCTCCTATGCTGGGGCTTTTGCGCTTCCTTTCCTCTTCCTGGACCACTTTTCCTGCAGACAATGTCAAAACTCCTCCTCCTCGTCGTGGTCGCTGCTTAAATGTCATTTACTCAGCGAGGTTTCCCCGATGCCCCCATTTGCAATCGCAACCCGCACCCAGGACCCCTGCGGTTCCCGGCCCGACCCCTCTCCATCGCTTATTCCCGCTGCTAACCGTCCGCCTCCCACCGCTAGAGCGAATTCCAGGGGCAGTGGGCTCTATTTCACCAGCACCTAAACAGTGCTTGGCACACAGCGGGTGGTCAGTCAAGGTCTCCTGAAGGAAGCCGAGTTGACCGACCCTTGTGGGTGCAGCCGTGGCATTCCCGGGACTTCAAGCCACGCGTCCCAGGTGGGCGGAGTGGACTGGGCACGCCGGGGCGGGGGCGCAGTGACTGATGTCGGCCGCTAGAGGGCACCCGAGACCTGTGCCGTCAGTCACGAACCCAGGCTTCGCGCGACCACGTGCAGTCGTAGGGCGAGCGCGGGCGAGCAGTTTTCTGTCCCCGGGACCTCTCCCTCCCCTTCTCACCCCTTCTTAAAGTTCTTCTTAGACAAACCCTAATTCTCTTTCTTTGAGTGACGAAAACACAAATCTACATACTTCCAGAATTAAGTGGTACAGAATACCATTCGGGCTTGCTTGCTTGTTTTTGCTTTTTGCTTTTGAGACGGAGTCTCGCTCTTGTGCCCAGACTGGAGTGCAGTGGCGCGATTTCGGCTCACTGCAACCTCCGCCTTGTATTTGTTTTTTTGTTTGTTTGTTTTGTTTTTAATGTGGGGCGGGGAGCCCATGTGCATTTTAAATAATCCATTTTCTTTAAACTCAACTTATGAAATGTTTCATTCTGTTTATAAGCTGGAACCTTTGGTCTGACAGTAACGACCCGCTGTGTTGGCCACACAACAGAATATATGGCCTCACAGTTCTAGCAGGCGGATGTCCAAGGTTAGGGTGACGGGAAGGTCGCTTCCTTCGGAGGCTCCCAGGGAGACCGCCCCAGGCTGTCTCCTGGCTTCTGGTGGATTTCCGGCCAACTTTGGCCTTCCTTCGCTTGTAGAAGCTTCACCGTGATCTCTGCCTGCATGTTCATATGCTCTTCTCCCTGTGTGTCCCTGTGTCTAACTCGCCCCTTTTGTGCAGATGCCAGTCATAATGGACTAAAGCCACCCTGAAGACCATTTTTTTTTTTTTTTTGACGGAGTTTCCCTCTTGTTGCCCAGGCTGGAGGGCAATGGCGCGATCTTGGCTCGGCTCATTGCAACCTCCGCCTCCCAGGTTCAAGCGATTCTCCTGCCTCAGCCTTCTGAGTAGCTGGGATTACAGGCATGAGCCACCACGCCCAGTTAATTTTGTCTTTTTAGTAGAGACGTGGTTTCACCATGTTGGCCAGTCTGGTCTTGAAGTCCTGACCTCAAGTGATATGCCCGCCTTGACCTCCCAAAGTGTTGGGATTACAGGCATGAGCCACTGTGCCAGGCCGAAGACCTCATTTTAACTTGATTGCCTCTGTAAAGACCCTATCTCCAAGAAAGGTCACAATCTGAGGTACTGCAGGTTAGGACTTTAACATCTTTTCGGGGGGACACGATTCAATGCATAACTCATAACATGTACAGTTTCATGCATTCCTGAGTAAAGCTTTAATTTATAAAACAGATTGAATTCTTCTAAACGAACTTATTTAGAAATAAAATTAAAAGAAACCCTATTAAATGTTTACAAAGGTAAGTGGCCACACAACAGAATATATGGCCTCACAGTTCTGGCGGGCAGACATCCAAGGTCAGGGTGTCGGGAAGGTCGCTTCCTTTGGAGGCTCCCAGGGAGACCGTCCCAGGCTGTCTCCTGGCTTCCGGTGGATTTCCGGCCATCTTTGGCCTTCCTCCTATTAAATGTTTATACATTTAATATTCTGATTTTCTGATTTTTCTTAATAAACATACAACGAAGCTTTTGAAATTAACATTTTATATTTATGAAAGTAAAACAATTGCAGTTTTAAAAGTCATAATACTAAAAGCCTTATTATAAGAGATAGTATTCTCCTACTCCACCCCTTCCTTGCAGCCCAATCCAACTCCCCAGAGGCAATCACTGTGAACTTTTAAATTTATTTATATATATATTTTTCTACAGAAATGAGGTCTCACTATGTTGCCCAGGCTGGTTTTGAACTCCTGGGCTCCAGTGATCCTCCCACCTTGGCCTCCCAAAGTGCTAAGATTATAGGTGTGAGCCACCATGTCCTGCCCACTATGAGCTTTTCAAGCAGTTTCTTTTTTCACTCCAATAAATCTAAAATATATGATTTTACTTCTAATTCTTTTTTTTTTCAATTTTAGACTTTATCTATTGACTTCATTCTATGCTAAGTGAGGTTCTTTTGCCAACATTCCCCCAATGCATGTACACTTTCGAAACCTCTCTCATCATCCCCAAATACTAATACTACGAAGTTTTACTGAAATCAATAGTCAGTGTTTATATTGCTATGCCTATGTCAACACTGTTCTCAACTGACCCACATAGTGTACTGTAATTACATTCCTTTCTTTTTTTTTTTTTTTTTTTGAGATGGAGTCTCGCTCTGTCGCCCAGGCCGGAGTGCAGTGGCCGGATCTCAGCTCACTGCAAGCTCCACCTCCCGGGTTTACGCCATTCTCCTGCCTCAGCCTCCCGAGTAGCTGGGACTACAGGCGCCCGCCACCTCGCCCGGCTAGTTTTTTGTATTTTTAGTAGAGACGGGGTTTCACCATGTTAGCCAGGATGGTCTCGATCTCCTGACCTTGTGATCCGCCTGTCTCGGCCTCCCAAAGTGCTGGGATTACAGGCTTGAGCCACCGCGCCTGGCCATTACATTCCTTTCTAATGGAACTTCTTGTTTTCCTTTGCATTTGGTTTGCTTACTTTTCTATGTAACAGTCACTGACTTTCTGCCAGAATTATGAAACTGCTCTTAATGTAATCAAATACGTGAGATAATGTAGCAATTGTTTTCTGTGTTTAAGTTGGGAGATATCCTTTCAGAGCTTCCCATCCTCCTAGTCTAACCTGGATTGGTGGTTCTCCAGGCCTGCCGCAGTTTAATCCTGGGCGGGTCTTCACCACCATCCTGGGAATCCCTTTCCCCTTTTTCTTTGTCGGGTCCTCTGCTTCCTGATTCCAGGTTGCTGCCTCTTTTACTTACCTTTCATTTGGGTTCTGAACGTTCTTCATTGATTTCCCAAGAAATGGCTCATGGAAAGTAAATGAGATCTTGCATATCTGAATACATCTTTCTTGCTTGGTTTCTCTCTCTCTCTTCCTCTCCCCCTTCCTCTCTCCTTCCTTCCTTTTTTTTTTTTTTTTTTTTTTTGAGATGGAATCTCACTCTGTCACCCAGGCTGGAGTGCAGTGGCATGATCATGGCTCACTGTAGCCTCAACTTTCTGGGCTCCAAGGATCCTCCCTCCTCAGCCTTTCAAGTAGCTGGGACCACAGGCATGTGCCAACACGTTTGACTCATTTTTGTATTTTTGGTAGAGATGGGATTTCACTATCTTGCTCAGGTTGGTGTTGAACTTCAGAGCTCTAGTGATCCTCCTGCCTTGGCCTCCCAAAGTGCCTGGATTACAGGCATGAGCAACTTTGCCTGGCCCACATCTTTCTTCTTACCCTCACACTAGGCTAATAATTATAAAATTTTAGGATAGAGGTTACTATCCCTTGGTACTTGGAAAGCTGCACTTCTCTGTCTACTATGTCTAGTTTTGCTGCTGAGAAGTCCAACATCATGCTGGAACCCAATCTTTTGGATATGATCAGTTTTTCTCTTTTGATACTTTTGGAACTTCTCACTCTCCCTATTGCTCTGAAATATCATGAGATGCTTTGGTGCCAGTCTTTTTTATTCATGTATCCCACATGCCTAGAGCAATACCTGGCAAATAGGTGTTTAATAATATTTGTTGAATGAGCTGGGAGTGGTGGCTCACGCCTGTAATCCCAACAATCTGGGAGGCCAAGGCAAGCGTACTACTTGAGGTCAGGAGTTCAAGACCAGCCTGGCCAACGTGGTGAAACCCCATCTCTACTAAAAAAAAAAAAAAATAATAAAATAAATAAATAAATAAATAAATTGGCCGGGCATTGTGGGATATGCCTGTAATCCCAGCTATTCAGGAGGCTGAGTCAGGAGAATTGCTTGAACTCGGGAGGCAGAGGTTGCAGTGAGCCGAGATCACTCCATTACACTCCAACCTGGGCAACAGAGTGAGACTCTGTCTCAAAAAAAAAAAAAAAGAAAGAAAGAAAAAGAAAAAGAAAAGAAAAACTGCCCAGGCGCTGTGGCTCACGCCTATTATCCCAGCATTTTGGGAGGCCAAGGCGGGCTGATCACTTGAGGTCAAGAGTTCGAGACCAGCCTGGCCAACATAGTGAAACCCCGTCTCTACTAAAAATATAAAAATTAGCCGGGTTTGTTGGCGGGCACCTGTAATTCCAGCTACTCAGGAGGCTGAGGCAGGAGAATCGCTTGAACCCGGGAGTGGGAGGTTGCAGTCAGTCAAGATCGTGCCACTGCACTCCAGTCCGGGCTACAAAGCGAGACTCCGTCTCAAAAAAAAAAAAAATTTCGCGTAGAAGCTCCCAAGCCCAATTAAAGCTCAAGGCTATCGTCCACGTAGTGTTCCAAATCGCTCAGTTCCCAGGCCAGCAAAGAAAGCGAGCCGGGTGAAAGTCGCCTCTGTGCGAAGGCGGGGAATTGCACAGTATTTACTTGGAAGCGGCGGAGAGGTTGCTTAGCAACCCTGCTGAGCGGACGGGCTTCACTGCGCACGCGTATACGGGCGGAGCATCTTGCGCACGCGCGAGCGACAGGTCGTGGCGTTCAGGGCCTGACGGTTGCTAGGGTGACAGGGACACAACATGGCGGCCGGATGCTAACGCTCTCCTTCGAGGGACCACCACGGAGATCCTAGTGCGGGACCCCGCCTCAGGGAAGTGGAAAGCAGGGGGACACCCTTCGTGCGTTTTTCTTTTCCGTCCAGTGTCGGCAAGGGGTTATCGCCAGCTTCCGCATCCAAGATGAAGAGTGAGTGGGACCAGGGATGGGGGCAGGGACTGGAGAGCGAGTGGCGGGGGCGGGAGGGACTGGGGGAGCTTGAGGGGCCTGTGGGGCCGGCGGGGCCGGGCGTCGTCGCCTTCTGCCGTGGCGGCTCTGCATGTGGACCCCGAATCCCCCTTGGCTGGAAGAAGCCGGTGCCCCTGGGGGAAGCTCGAGGGGTTGGGGCTAGGTTGGGAACTTTGAGGTCTCGGAGAGTCGACCCAAGTCCCGTTCAGGCATATTTGGTGCCGGTGCGTAGTTCTTACATCGAAGTTTAGGGAGTTGAGTGTGATTCATTTTATTTTTTTAAATGCTGGCTCGAACCTGACATTCTTTTCTTGAACATTCGGCAGAAACGCAGGGAGCGCTTATAGTGTGGCTCCCTGCCTTTTCATGGTATTGGTTTAGTGTCCAATTGAGAGGAAAGCTGGGCTGTGTGCTTTATTTTATTTTTTGGGTCTAGCAGTAGTGTTTTATAGGAACCATTTTCTAATAGTCATTTTGAAGCAACCTTTTAGTTAAAAGCTGTTACTTCAGAGTTGGAAAATGAGGTAGTCATTCTAGAAAATGTAACGGGTAAAAAAATTTACCTCTGGTAGGATTTGTGGATTATTGACAATCCGAGTGCAACCAGCTAGAATGATTTTTTATTATTACTGTACGTAAATAATTGTTTATGGCTGTGAACCAGAGGTGCAGTAAAAATTCAGACCTTTGCTGTGAAAAGATTATGTTAGGAGTAGTTATAATGTTAAATTTGCATTGTGTTCTAATTGTCAATAGTGTACGTTGCATAATATTTAAAATAATTCATTCACCCTTTACAAAGCATTTTTATTTTTATTTTCTTTTGTTGGACATTGTTTAATGTTTACCTTTTTCATTAACGCACTACAAAACTGTAGTTAGAATCAGAAGTCTACAAAAGACTTTACACTTTTACTTACAGTGCAGACTGTGTATACTGCACGTATTTTGTACTGTATTCCTTTTTTCTTCCCATCTGTTTGTTTTGAAAATTGTCAGATGTACAGGAAAGTTGCAAGAGCGGTACACTGAATATTTATAAACCCGTCCTTCACTTAGACGCACCATTTTGCCTTATTTTTGTGTGCTCACTTTCGCTCTGGTGTTTTCTCTCTCCCATTTGTGTATTTATTTTCACTGGACCTTTCAAGAGTTAGTTGTAGACTACTGATAATTCACCACTTCTTTCAGCAGTTATCTGCGAAGAACAAGGACATTCTCCTACATCATCACATTACAAATAACACATTTAGAACATTTAACGATGATACAATACTCTAATATACAGTCCGTATTTCAGTCTTTCCATTTATCCCAATAACATCTGTTATAGTTGTTTATATTTGTTCTACAGTCCAATCAAGAATCACAAATTGCATTCTGTTGTCACATCTCTTTGGTCTCTTTTAATATGGTGTCCCTGCCTTTTGTGTCTTTCATGACAATGATAGTTTCATTTTTATTTTTGACCATCCTCTGTAGGCCAAATGACATTTTTAAAGAATCCAGCCCAGGTGTTTTGCAGAATATCTCTCAATTTGAATTTATCTGATTGTTGCCTCATGATTAGCTTCAGCTTAAATGTTTTTACCAGGAATGTGAGAGAGGTGACATTGTGTCTCTGTCAGTGTGGCCCTTCCAGAGTGTGTGATGTCAGCTCGTCGCAGTTTTGCTGAAGTTAGATTTGATCATTTGGTTTATTTATCTACCTTCCTTTTCTCTTGGACTCTTTTTTTTTTGACAGGGTCTTGCTGTGTCACCCAGGCTGGGGTGTAGTGGTGCAGTCTTGGCTCACTGCAACCTCTGTCTCCCGGGATCAAATGATTCTCCCACCTCAGCCTCCCAAGTAGCTGAGATAACAGGTGTGCACCACCATGCCCAGCTAACTTGTATTTTTTTGGTAAAGATGGGGTCTCAACATGTTGATCAGGCTGGTTTCGAACTCCTGACGTCAAGCGATCTCCCCACTTTGGCCTCCCAAAGTGTTGGAATTACAGACGTGAGCCACCGTGCCTGGCCTTTCTCTTAGACTCTTCATACCCCACTACCTAGAGGCATCACTCTCAGTACTTTACTCTCTCTCTATATATATATTATATATAAATATGTAAATGTGTATTTCTCCCTTTTTAAAAGAGTAATGTTAGCACTGTGTGTGTACACCTATATAGAAATGCGTGTATGTGCCGGCCGGACGCGGTGGCTCACGCCTGTAATCCCAGCGCTTTGGGAGGCCAAGGCGGGCAGATCACAAGGTCAGGAAATCAAGACCATCCTGGCTAACATGGTGAAACCCTGTCTCTACTAAAAATACAAAAAATTAGGCGTAGTGGCTGGTGCCTGTAGTCCCAGCTACTTGGAAGGTTGAGCCAGGAGAATGGCGTGAACCCTTAAGGCGGGGCTTGCAGTGAGCCGAGATTGCGCCACTGCACTCCAGCGTGGACAACAGAGCGAGAGACTCCGTATCAAAAAAAAAAAAAAAATGTGTGTGTGTGTATATATGTAAAATTTACATTTACATTTGTGGGCCGGGCACAGTGGCTCACGTCTGTAATTCCAGCACTTTGGGAGGCTGAGGTGGGTGGATCACTTGAGGCCAGGAGTTCGAGACCGGCCTGGCCAACATGGTGAAACCACATCTCTACTAAAAATATAAAAATTAGTCGGGCGTGGTGGCAGGCGCCTGTAATCCCAGCTACTAGGGAGGCTGAGGCAGGAGAATCGCTTGAACCTGGGAGGCAGAGGTTGCAGTGAGCCGAGATGGCGCCACTGCACTCCAGCCTGGGCAACAGAGCAAAGAAAAAAAAAAAGTATGTGTGTGTATACATATAAAATTTACATTTATGGAGCAGGCACGGTGGCTCACGCCTGTAATCCCAGCACTTCGGGGGGCTGAGGTTGGCTGATCACTTGAAGTGAGGAGTTCGAGACCAGCCTGGCCAATGTGGTGAAACCCCGTCTCAACCATAAAATTCAAAAAAATAAAAATAAAAACAAAACAAAAAAATACACAAAAAACTTACATTTATGATTTACTTCTTGTAAACTTTTGTTTTTAAAGTATATTTAGTATTGTTTGGTATGTTCTTTTAGATGGTCATTTTGGTAGTTTTTGGTTACTTGGTTTAGTGGTGACATCTTTATTCTCCCTTTCTTCCTTCTACCTTAAAATCTACTCTAAGAATTATTGTAACCTTTTATCCCCGTGGTTTACATCTGATCATTAGATAAATGATTTAAAAATAGTTAAGAGTGGAGAGTATATTCCAGAACTGGAAATCACAGAGACAGAGTTAAAGAAGAATGATCAGGAAAAGTGAGTAATGGTGAAACTGGATCCATAGCTTGGGGTCAGAGTGGGGCTGGGAATGCTAGATTATTACAGGGGTCTTTCAGGATTTTCTAGGTGTATTTTTGTACTTGTTTTCTAGGCGATGCCCATGTGTTTAGAGGTATGTTATTCTGTGGAGTGTTCCTGTCTTTCTTTTTATTTGGCATCATTTGCAACAGTAGAGAGCAAAGAGTGACAGTGCAGTTGATAACAGTGTGGGCTTTGGAGCCGGTAGGCGTGGTAGCTTCAGGCATGTTACTTTTTTTTTCTTATGCTGCTTTTCTTCGTTGTTCAGGTAATCTATTGCTGCGTAACAGATCGCTTCAATTTTGTGGCTTAAAGAAACACAGTCTTTCTTGTGGTCCTTCAGGTTGCCTGGATTCAACTAGGCAGGTCTTACTGGAAGTCTCTCATGCAGTCAGATGGTGGCTGGAGCTGAAGTCATCTTAAAAGTTTCTTTTTTATTTGGAGATGGAGCTCTCTCTGTTGGCCAGGCTGGAATGAGTACGGTGGCACAATCTCGGCTCACTGCAACCTCTGCCTCCTGGGTTCAAGCGATTCTCCTGTCTCAGCCTCCTGAGTAGCTGGGATTTTAGGCGCACCACCACACCTGGCTACTTTTTGTATTTTGAGTAGAGACAGGGATTCACCATGTTGGTCAGCCTGGTCGAGAACGCCTGACCTCAGGTGACCCACCTGCCTCGGCCTCCCAAAGTGCTGGGATTACAGGCGTGAGCCAGTGCGCCCAGCCACATTTATCTTTAAACGGGGATGATAATACCCTTACATAGCATTGTTTCAAAGATTAAGTGAAATCATCTATGTAAAGGTCATAGCACAGTGTCTGGTACATGGTAAGTTGTGAGTGAATTATTATTTGCTATTTCAGCAGATGGAAGGCAGGGATATAAAAAGCGAAAGAATGAAAACATCGGTCAGATCCTTACTTGGAAAAGTTTCCCTTTATCTAGTCTAGTTGAAGTACCACTCTTTTTTCCTGTCCGAACTTTTTTTTTTTTTTTCCAGATAGAGTCTTGCTCTGTTGCCCAGGCTGGAGTGCTGTGGTGTAGTCACAGCTCATGGCAGGCTCCATCTCCTGGGCTCAGGCAAGCCTCCCACCTCAGCCTCCTGAGTAGTTAGGACCACAGGCACGTGCCTCCTCACGCGGCTAATTTTTTTAAAAAATTTTTTTGGTGGAGATGGGGTTTTGTTGTGTTGTCCAGCCCAGGCTTACTTTTTTTTTTTTTTTTTTGAGATGGAGTCTTGCCCTGTTTCTTGGGCTGGAGTCCAATGGTGTGATCTCATTTCACTGCAACCTACACCTCCCGGGTTCAAGTGATTCTCCTGCCTCAGCTTCCTGAGTAGCTGGGCTTACAGGTGCCTGCCAAGACACCTGGCTAATTTTTGTATTTTTAGTAGAGACAGGGTTTCACTATGCTGACCAGGTTGGTCTCGAACTCCCGACCTCAGGCAATCTGCCCGCCTTGGCCTCCCAAAGTGCTGGAATTACATGCATGAGCCACGGTGCCCGACTGCCCAGGATTAGATTTTTAATTGTTTGAGATGGGGGTCTCCCTACATTGCCCAGACTGGTCTTGGACTCCTGGATTATAGGCATGAGCCACTGTGC